GAAAGCTGAGAGCTCGACACAACTGTTCCAGTTGGCTAAGCTTCTTCTGCTGGATCACGGCGTTCTCTTCAAGCTCTTTTTTGGCCATCGTCAATACCAACACATTCCTGGAAGGAAAGCATTTTGAAATCGAGAACAACACACTCGATAGGGGAAGGCATTCAACTTCCCATGGAACTTTGAATTGAGACCCAGATATATCGATAGAGCTTCAAACGCTGATTACAAATATGGAAACTAAAACTGCAAAATGAACCTAAAGAAGTTGTGAGCAGTCAAAGTTGGCTGGAAGTAAAGCATTACATATGAACCGTGCTAGCCTCCGGGCTTTCAGAGTCGCCGTGGAGTAGTGGTAGTGCTCTCGCTCTCCACCGGGAGGTCATAAGTTCTCTTCCCGTTGGAGTGCAAATTCGAGAGCACTACCACTACTCCACGGCGACTTTGAAAGCCCGGAGGCTAGCACGGTTCATATGTAACGCTTTACTTCCAGCCAACTTTGACTGCTCACAACTTCCTTGGCAGGTTCATTTTGCAGTTTTAGTTTCCATATTTGTAATCAGCGTTTGAAGCTCTATCGATATATCTGGGTCTCATTCAAAGTTCCATGGGAAGTTGAATGCCTTCCCTATCGAGTGTGTTGTTCTCGATTTCAAAATGAGTTTCCTTCCAGGAATGTGTTGGTATTGACGATGGCCAAAAAAGAGCTTGAAGAGAACGCCGTGATCCAGCAGAAGAAGCTTAGCCAACTGGAACAGTTGTGTCGAGCTCTCAGCTTTCGGCAGCAGCCGACGGCAACATCAGAATCGGTCGTGCCTTCTACAGAAGTCGATGCCACCGCTGTGCCGCCACCCACTGAAGGGTCAAACTCTCAATGATCTGTGGATCTCTAATTTCTGTATAAATATTCGTCACACGAACTCTATTTAGTCTGTTATTCGTCAGGGACGTACTGTATATGCTTCTGAAAATGGCGCTCATGACCTTTGGGGGGGGGGGGGGAGCATTCAAAAACCGATGGTAAGTGGCACTAGGACTAAGCCCAAAAGGAAGAAATGCCAGGGAAAACAATAAGCCAATATTCTCCAGATCTGTTCCCCTCCCTAGGGCTTAGTCCCAAGTACTGTAAGTGGCCCACTCACTCCCTTGAATGCCCCCCCCCAACGACATGAGCGCCTTGAAAATTATTGCAGAGTAATAGTAGCAGGCATTCATTCTCGGTAATCACCATGAAGTTATTGGTATAGCCCAATGAAAACCATCTGCAGCGAGCGCTAGGAAATGGACGTTCAGGTCGATTGTTTTATGAGATGTTTTCAGAAGAAAACGCATTGAAGCACGTGACAAAGTACGTTCTTCGAAGGCTATTAGAGGACTGCAATAGGGTTTTATTAGAAAAACAGCGTTTGAACTTTAGAAGATCATAGTTTTGCAGAATCTTTAGGAACTGAGAAATTGTTGGAAGTGGGTCAAGTGGGTAAGTAAATGAGTAAGAAGTCTTGGGAAAAGTCTATGTTCGATCTTCTTGCAATCTTGGCATGAATTAGTTCAAAAAAGTTCAATCTTAAAAGGCTTGAAAAATCATTCCTAAGTCTCTGAAATGAATGTTAGCCAAGAAGAAGAGGAATTGTGAGGGGGTACTATGCCTTTAGGTTCGATTTGTGAGTTTTCGAAATATATGGAAGAAAAAAGTCTAGCTAAGCTATGGCATTATACGGTAATACATCTGCTAGCATTGGTCGGTAGATGGGATCTGTGAGCTATTGGGCTTTGTGGGGGGTGGGTACAATTCGTCGTAAAATGTGCAATTTGGCTAGACGATTGCTCCACCCTCCCTGATCCTGAACGCAACGTCCTGCTGGAAGCGTGGAGTCTTCCTTGCCGCATTAAGCCTCCCTCGGCCAGCTTTCCGACGTGCTGTCTCTCTCGAGGCTATCTCGCAGGTGTTGTAGCATATAGCCACACAGCGAGGAGGCCGCCCAGCGAGCCCATCGATTTTGTTTATTG